GTTAGCGTCTCTGTCAGTCAGTCGGTCAGTCAGTCAGGTAGCCGGCTGAGCCTCTACGCTCCAAGGGTGATTCCTGCCATGCAGTGCTCTCCGATTCATTTGTTTGTTTTTCAGAGAAAGAGGCCAAAAGAGGTGTGTGGAGACTCAAAGAGAGAGACACAGTGAAGTGTGAAGAAATATGCAAATTGATAGAGTGAAGAGAGAGGAAGATAGAAAGATGTCAGTTTAGATGGTGAGTTCTAGTGTCAGACTTCCAAATAGGGAGAGAAGAGAAAAAGAAGTTAAAGAGTACAAAGTTTACTTCAGACAAAGGTGTTAGTGTAGAGCGAGAGAGAGAACGAGAAAGCTGAGGGGATCGAAAGAAAAGCTGGGAGACAAAGCTTTAAGGTTAGAGAAAGAGAGGGGGGGGCTTAGAGTTTGAGAAATGAAAATTGTTTGTTCAGAGAGAGAGAGAGAGAGAGAGAGAGAGAGAGAGAGAGAGATGGCTGTGTGCATCCTTTTTTTTCTGCCAGTCATTACCTAGTCGGCCTCGGCAGCAGGTTGGCAGAGCGAGCTCTAATTGAGGAGGCCGCTGGCTCGGAACGGCAGAGAGCGAGGCAGGGCTAGCTTTCCTCTTTGCTTGTTCATAAATTAGCCTGCAAGTCATTATGCTCCTGCATGTAGCCGGGATCAGGCGACACCACTTTCAAACACATTTGCATTTGTCACTAGCTCCAATACTATAAAGCCAAAGTTTATGAAGCCTGGATGTGTGCATGTTGAATTATGCTGGAACACTGCGGATCAAGGCTGCATCAGACTAAGAATTTTGTCCGTCTGAACTAGTTTGGCGTTTCAATGAGAAGCAGTGATTTTTTTTTTTGTTGTGTTTTCCTTTCAGAGCTACAACAAAATCTTTCATTGGCCTTCACATGTGTACCTGTAAGATAATTTTTTGTGTTTATATTCACTTTTTAAGTGTGTTAAGTCGAGTCACCACAAATATCCATTCTAGTGAACTGGATAAAGAAAGGGGCTGAAGCTAATAAACACTAAAGGGTCATTTTTCAGAAGCTTTGAACTTAGTTAAAACCCTGCTGTGCTGCTACAATAATCTGAATACAGTGATGCAGCTATAAAACTAAAGTATGAATATTTCAGTGTCGAAATGCAAGTCAACTTCATGAGACATGGAGTTTAAGGGGCAGCTTTACTCCGCACATCCACTGCAACTGTACAGTAAATGAATAAAGAAACAAAGATGACCAGCAAAACAAAGACAATGATCTACAATTATGCATTTATATTTATTGATTCAATGGGCTTTCTCATTTAGATCAAACTACACAACTCCTAAACACACATTTAACACTATGTTACACACCTGCCCATCACAAACAGCTGTGTCACTCTCCTCACTGTCTTGTTGCCTGCTGCAGATTGGAAAACAAAGCAGTGGACATTATGTTGCTGTCGTGAAAGGTATTGATCAAGCTGCTCCTGAGAGACAGTTAGATGAACTTCTCATCATCACCTGAGAGAGAGAGGGAGGGAGAGAGAGAGGGGGGGGGGGTGCTATCTATGAATGACTAATGCGTACTTTGGTGAAGAGAAAAAGAGGGAGTGGGTATCATTGGTGGAATTTTGTAGAGATCCCCTGATGCAAAAAAAACAAAAACAAAAAATCGTCACATTGTGTTAGTTTTGCATGGCATTGTTGTCTTCTCAGGTGACAACTGCTGCCTCCGAGTTTTATGCGTCCTCTTCCTCGCGTCTCATACCCAGACCGCCCAACACCTCCGTCACTCTGTCTCCCAACCGTCTGTGCCGCAACCCATCCACCCCAAACCAACCCGGCCCACCTTGGTGACAGCACCGGCATGCAACAGCGAACAAACACTGCATAATAATCACAAGCCACACACCTCTTCTGTAGTTTCCACTTTAGCGTTCCATCCTTAAAAACCACATGTCAGTGTATGCTCGACATCTCTGTACCAAATTCTTCATACGGTTATTATAAAAGTACTTTTTTTCATACCCACAAACACACCTAAAAATGTCTCTTTTTCCACCCAGAGGCAGGTTCTCATTTAAAAAAAAGGGAGTTTAGCGGGGCAGAAACATTTAGAAAGAGTTCAGACTCGACTGTGACAGCTTGACCTTCTCGTCTCTTCGGGGTGCATCACTCATCACCATAGATACAGGGCTCTGGGCCACTCAGTAAATATCATTAGTGTGTATTAGCAAAGTCCACCAGTGTTAACTCCAGATTCTCATAAGGGGAAATGTGTTGTAACTGCTCTGACATGCAACACCGTAGTTCTAATGCAAAGTCAGATATTTTAGCGTGACACATTGTCGCAGTCTGTCACCTGACTGAACTGTTTGACCGTTTCATTTCATTTTTGCAAGTCAGTCAGTAAGTCTTACAACGTACTCTCTGTCTGTGAGGGAAGCTCAATGAGAGAAGTCTTTTGGGAACAACAAGTAAAGGCAGATCAAACCAGTAGTGAAATTATGGTTACTTATGAAATATTTATTTACAATGAATGAGCTTCTTTTTTTTTTTAAGAAAATACAACTCTAAAAGAGTTTCCATAATAATTCATTTTAAATATATTAAGTGGTTGCCCACAATGAATCACACATATTCGGTTATTCCACTCCTTGACACCTGAAAAAGAAAATTCAAGGTTACTTATTCACTCATTTGTGGAAAACATTTTTGTTCAAATGATTTGCCTCAGTCTTTTAGTTTAAAGAAGAAGACAGTTTTGAGCTCAAGGATGACAATTACACTCAGGCAACACTTTCTTATCTACAATAATGCAACATTTATACGTCATAAATCCCTTTTCAGAGAGCAGGACTTTGACATCAATGATTGGCATTTGCTTCTTAAGTTCTGCGTGTGGCTAAGTCTCTATGCAAATTCACTTTGGGTAAGCCTGAGGAAGATTGTGGTTTTGGTTTAATGTAAACAAAGTTGCCCTCTAAGCTATATTTAGAGTCATAAAACAAGTTCTTGATATTTCCCAAACTTGAATGTTCTGGGTCCATTGAATACTTTTAACTGCTACAAGTCTGTTATTAAAATACCAGATATTGTAGGGAGAAAACTGAAATGCTAAATTTGTTTCTGTATTTTTCTTTAGTATGATGTTCAGTAAATATGTTGACTAAAATGTTCTGGTACATAAAACCTATTTATTGTTGCAAATCTTTAGTAAAAATGATATTTACATGTCAGCATGGTGTGACAGATTGTCTCAATGAAGTGAGTAACTGCATAAATGAATCATGTTGCAGTGGAAATATGGACTTTTAACAGTCAAACTGTCCCCACTGAGAGATGTAACCATGTTTTCCTACTGGCACAGAGTGACATATTTTAACATATACAACAAACTGGCGTCAACAAATCATGTTGGCTGCAGCAGACTGATGTACAGCTTGGAGTCTTTCCCGTGTTTCTAATTAGCCACAGCTCTGGTGTGCCAGTCAGCTGAGCTGATGGTTGGCATGAGGCAGGGTGGAGAACTCAGCTGCCCCTATGTCCTCCTCTCTGCCACAGGGGGGAGGGGGGGGGTTAAAGTGGTTTGGTCCGCTGCTGCATCGGTGAATTGCAAGGAAACAGAAAGCTGGATTGGAAGAGAAAGGTAGTTCACACCCCACATAACACTCTGTCAGAGGCAATGTTTCACGTTTACAGGAAACTCTCTATTCAGGAGCTGAGATCTAGCCCTCCATGCTCTATTGTCACACTTGCAATGTCACAAACTGTCTGAAAAACGGCAATATGAATTGATTTGTAGAACTCAAATCAGGAATTTCAATGCACACTACAGACAGCAGAAGGACCTTCATCATTTTCAGCTGTGCAGTGGAAGTCAGGAACAATTCTGACATATTTTAAAGGCTTATCCCTGTCATGAAGCATCATCAGCAGCGGGAGTCTTTGCCAAACCAGCAAGTGCATGAGACAGGGGGGGGAAAGAGCATCAAGAGATAGAAAAGAAAGAGAGAGGAGCTATTGTAAGATAAGATGGATACACAGTTCGAGGAGAGGGAGTCAGAGCAGGAAGGGGGTGAGCAGGGAAAAGAAGGGGAAGTGAACTGCGAGCAAGAGAAAAAAGCGGAGAGGGAGCAATTTAATGCTGTAATTAAGTTCCTGATAGCACCCTGGGAGATGTGCTTTGGCATAGCTCCAGGACAGCTTAGCATTGAACCAAGGCTCTCCAGCCCTATCTTTGCCTACACAAGCGCTCACACACACACACACACACACACACACACACACACACACACACACACACACACACACATACACACACACCATTTCAACAAACTGAGATTTAATACGAGCAGGCTCTCTGTGCTCTCGAGCCAATTCTGAGTCCCCGAATATGTGTCAGCTTCACCAAATGATGCATCGACAAGAAGAGACACAAAGGAGGAGCAGACTGGCGAGAGAGATGGCTGTGAGGAAGCATCACTCGCAGCCGCTCTCACGTTACTCTCGCTCACATACTGTCGTGCACACAAGGCAGCTGCCTTGACAAGTGCACACAAATCATCCTTATGAGAGCACGAATGGAAACCTGTCTCAGACAATATTCTTCTCTTTCCCTTAATGTTTACAGTGCTGCTGCCACTCCAGTCTTTTCACTGCTTTCTCCTGCGCCTGCTGTGTGTTTTTTTTTTGTTTTCTTTTTGTTTTCTTTGCACTCTTTTCTCTGGCTACATGGCATGACATAATATGGTTCAAACATGGCTGTTATAGCGCTGATCTGTACAAGAACTTTGCCAAAAAGTTGTCCAGTTGAAAGGACTTAGAAAAAACAGTAGCTAATTTCCCCATCTGTGCATTCCTGTTAAGTTAAAAGTGCTCACAGAGAGAGAGAGGGGTAGGACTACAGAGATGAAGATGACAAACAGAGAGAGGGAGAGAGAGGGAGAGAGAGAGAGAGAGAGAGAGAGCGAGCGAGAGAGAAGGAACAGTCAATTACACCCAGCCCCTCTCCTACAGCCCAATTCTTCGCCTCCTTCAGGCCAAGCGGAGCAGCGGCAAGAGCGACAGGATTTTAACTGAGGATAACGCGCATCAAAAGGATCTGAGATTTCCCGGGGAATTGGTCACCAAAGACGGGGGAGAGAGAGAAAATAACAGGATACGGTATCGCCAAGGAAGAGTTTTCATCTGCAGAGACAAGAGAGGGGGAAACAAGTCACTCGGATCCTGAAAGATCTTTGAGGCTCTTTCAGACATCAGAACGTTTATCCGGTTCGCACCTGCATGTGCGTCGCGCGTGGACTCTGGGTCTGTGGGGATAAAAGTGCGTAAAAATTCTGTCCGTTTTTACGCACGGGGGCATAGCAGAGCTGGAGAGACGCGGATACGCTCCTATACGCACGATGCTGATCGGTGAGTGTTGAACACCTTCTGTACTCCGACTCTTACCGGTGGTGATGATGTAGCTGCGCTGAATGAAGAAATCCGGTTGACAAAATGTATGAAAGATGAGCGAAATATCACGACTTACGTTAAAGAACTAAGATAAAAAAAAAAAATATAGAATATTTATGTGAATGGCATCTGACGATCAAAACACAACTTGACGAAGAAAAGAAGAAGAGGAGGCGCTGGCGCTTTGAAAGAGGAATATTGAAAATGAGTGTGCCAAATAAACGCGCGAGCACACTGAGTATTCAGAGAGTGTGTTTTTATGATGAAGTTTTATGTGGAATTCATCAGCAGCCTCGTTTATGTCGTCGTTAAAACGCTCATGTGTTATTTTATGGCATTCCTATGGAAACTGTCTAGATCAAGTTCTGTGGAACTCACTGCAGATCCCCAAATCTAAAGGTGTGCATCAGACTGGCGCGAGATGCGGACACCTCAGCTTCCCTTTTCTTTTTTTTTCTCAGCTGGAACTTTAGTATTATATTTAATCATAATAATTCAAACTTTTTTTTTTTGTAAGTTTGAAAAAGAGTTGTTAATATCAGCCAATGGAGATTTGACCTGCATGCCCTCCCCCTCCCCCAAAACCGAGTCCATCTGTCAACATATAAATTAAAATCAATGATCACCTTAGAAATAAGCAGCAGATTCATTTTCGGATAGACATTGATTGTGCTGGAATGATTGGCTCTCTGTCTGGCAGTGTAAATGGGGGTTATGGGAGGTTACGCGCACAGGATCACTGAACAGAGGAATTTCATGGAAATATTTTTTTGGCTTTTAAAAATAAAAAGTATATATCTGTATTTGTCTTTTCTCTTGAGGCTCCAGATTAATAATTGTACGTTTTTATGACTTAAATTTGCCCTTTAATGACTTTGAAATGGTCCATTTTTAAAGAATTTTAAGACTTTTTTTTTTAAGAATGTAAAATAATTCTTGACTGTATCTCAAACTTTATAATATATCTGACATTGGAAAGAAACTGACCGACTTAATCCAGATCGTAGAGAACATTATTTATGCTCTCTAATTTTATGGGAGAATGAAGGTTCACATTTTGTGTTGAGGCTGAGCTGAGCGACGGACCTTTGTGGTTGTTGTTTCAGCCTTAAAACTGCTTTATAGCCAATACTCAACCAACTCCAACCTTCTGCGACCAAAATGCGACTCTTCTATCAAACCAGCGATTCTCTGGGTGCACTGAGCTTTAAGCAATTTCTTCCATTTCGAAGATGAAGAAATGCAAGACGGAGAGTGTGAGTGTGAATGTGAAAATGATGAGATTATTAGAAAGAACCAAAGGGAATATGCTGATTTTCTTGTTTACTGACTTGGGTGTGATAGCCACACACACACACACACACACACACACACACACACACACACACACACACACACACACACACACACACACACACTTGCAAACAGGGTCTCTGGATGTGATGGATCCTGCTATAAGTAAGATTGTGGGTTGGATTCGAGAACTCGCTGCTCTTAAAATGGCTTCGGCGCACAGGCCAATGACTCATGCAAATGGATGCCACATTAGCATTTCTCCAAATATTTACTTCTCCCAAATAATGTCATGTTAAACTCCCGACAGGGAGACCGCATGTGCAACGGGGACCAAAAAATATCCAGTGTTGACTAAAATGTACTCTTGACAACATTACTTGACCATGGCCATAATTATTCACCACGCTGCTTTCTTTTTTTGCCCGAGGCAGAATTTAGATTTAAAGAAAACAGTTGAGGAAGAATAAGCTTGTAATGGGGTTCAACCTTGTCTCACATGACCATACCCATCAATCCACAACCCCCCCCCGCTGTTCCCCCGGGCAGGAGACAGGTTGCAGGGCTGTGGGAGGCCTGATTACAGGCCTGTCCCAAGTGGAGTGGGAGTGGGTGCCATTCTTACCCTTCAACCGCTTTTTTTATCTGCAGGATCTGAGTTGGTGAGGGGGGATGCATGGAAAGCAGGGCTAATCTGCACTAAACAGGGTCCCAAGCTTGATCAGGGCTAATTACGGGGGGTTATGGTTACAGACTGGCCATTAAAAGGAAGAGGGGAGGGGGGGTTGACAAAATTATAGGTAAGGCAGTGAAAAGACTGGTTGGTTTCCTCTCAATAAAAGATTGAGCTTAATGTAAAGGCCAGCATTCAGCCCTTCACCTTGAGATGTGTGTGTCCACCTGGCCTTGGCTCCAGCTTTAGAGTAAGGTAGGCTTACCAAGCAGTGGGAAGCAGTGTTTTTGTGTGTTTGACGTGGATATGCAGATGGAGGGGGCGTACATGACGGGGTTAATTAGAGGAAGCACAACTAATGGCTTTGGTCGACTTCCCATCTAACCATCCGCTTATCAAGTGTGTGTTTTGCATTTTTTTGGTTAAAACAGCTGTGAGCTTCTGTGTGTGTGTGTGTGTGTGTGTGTGTGTGTGTGTGTGTGTGTGTGTGTGTGTGTGTGTGTGTGTGTGTGTGTGTGTGTGTGTGCTTGATAAAAACAATACATCGATAAAATTAACATTAAAAAGACAAGCTTACAGGATGTAGGGAATCATTGTGTAGAGGATTTATGAGACCGGATGGAGAATGATCAGACTGAATATGCCTGTTTGATTTGTTTTGAGATGAGATTTAAAAATGGAGAGAGAGAGAGAGAGAGAGAGAGAGAGAGAGAGAGAGAGAGAGAGAGTCAATATTACGGATGTGTTGTTGGAGGTAGTTCCTGAGGCGGGCAGGGGGGGCAGAGTGGGCTGAAGGCCCTGGACCCCGGGAGGGAGTTGCAGTGAGTTGAATGGAAGAAGAAGACCCGAGAGTGCGGGTGGGTGTGTTGATGTTGCAGGAGTTCAGAGAGGTACAGAGGAGCGAGGTTATGGATGGCCTTAATGCATATAAAAAGCAAGTGTGAGAGGCTACAAGACACTATAATGGATAGACTTCCCAGAGCCCGCGGTCTCTTTGTTCATCCCTCGTGGGCCACAGAGATGAAGGTGGCAGCCCTCCAGCTCCTGCTCATCCCCTTTCGACCTGCTCTCTATCTTTCTCTCACACACACACGGCTGAGACGTAGAACCCACTGCTCTATTAGCTCAACAAACACCCCAGCTGGAACGACAAATCTGTAGGCAAGCTGACTTTTTTATTTTCTGTTAGGCCCTGAAACTACTGTGAGAATGTAAGCAATGTCTGCTAATACCACTGAGTGTCATACACATTATTTCATATTTATGGCTTCCCATACAGCTGTGTTTATGTTATCCCACTGGTGTTAAGTTCTGTCCCACTTTAATGCTGCAGTCGATGTCTGTGGCTCTGTTTCACTGTTGTAGGCCATTGCGTTTAGCTAACAGGAACAAAAGGATGTGTTAACATTCAACTTTCTGTGATTCCTTTGCTGTAGTAACTCTTCCTGATCTTGTTTCATGTTTCCCTGAAGAGATCAGTCGAGGATGATGATGTCAGTCTAAAGGAGGATTCTATTGTTGTACATTGTTGCGCAACCTCCGGATGTTCAGCCGCTTTTCAGGAGTCATCTTGTGATGAAGAGCTGGTAATCGAGCATGCGTCACACCTTATGTTGTTATTTCAGTCTGTATTAGAGCAGCACACACTCTTCTTTTGAGGGTATTGTGGGAGGGGGAGGGGGGGGGTGTATCTGACACTTCTCTGATGAGTTAAGCACCTCAAGGCTGAATCTTAACTATTCTTTTCACATTTAATTGTAGGTAATGTAAGCCCCAGATTTTGAAAAGTCAGAAGATTGGGTGAACTACAAAAAAAATAGCTGATATTGTTAAGGAAGAAGTTTGCATGAAATACCAAAGATTATATTGCTGTTTAAGCAGCTGTCAGATATGAATTGTGGGTAATATAGGTCCAAAATCTGTCAGGGATAAAGACTGATAAATGTCCTTTCAGTTCTGTTATGAATCCAACAAGGTTGCCACAATCTAATTCAGTGGAGGATTCTGTTAAATGTGTACCCTTGATCTGATCCTAAAGCACCAAAAACAGATATTTGGGACTTTTTTTAAAGATATTCTTTGGTCCATTTACTTTAGGCAGTCAAGAGAGTGACGAGGAATACTGCGAAGACAGTGGGGAAGACGTGCAGCAAATGTCGAGGGTTCGAACTGAAACCCAAAACGGCTTTCAGAGGACTAAGAGTGCACAATTTAAACGCTGAGCTGAACCCACATTCGTGTTTGATTTTTTGTTTTTGTCAGGGTTTTTCTAAATCAGGGGAATCGCAGTCACAAATCCACGGTTACTGACTAAATGTGGACATTTTTATATACTGAATAAATCAAAGTGAGAGGAGCAGATTTATGGCTGAGAGTGTTCAAAGTGATTTTTTTCTGCATGCATTGTAACTGAAAGGGCAACAAAGAGGTCACATGCTGATAAATGAAGTAAACTGAGACATCACCCACTCCATGATTGTTTCCACGACCCCCATAGATATTCATTAGATCTTCATCATTGTGTATATACACACATAATTAATGCCCTTTAAGGTGGAAGCTATTAATATGTTAGTGTGTGAATTGTCTTGTGACAGAAACTATGTGTCTGCTTTTGCACATTTTGAATGCTATGGGTTGTATTTGCCCCTTCCTGCCCTCAGGCCCCCCCGTGGGGAACATATCCGTGTGTGAGTGACAGTTTGAGCTATTCCACTGAAGTGACAGCGTGGGTTTGATTGGCCTGCCTGCTGAACTGATGGCTTCTGGATGCTGAGAGCTGCAGGCATATGTGAGGCCCAGCAGGAGCCCTGACAACATGAGAAATGGCCCCCACGCCGCACTCGGCGCCGAAACCTCACCACTTAGCCTCCCGTTCCCCGGGTGCTAAGGCTAAAGATGGAGGCCATGAATAGACGCAGCAAAATATCACCTCCTAGTTCTGCTTGAATGTGTATTTGTTTGTGTGTGTTTGTGATACAGCTTTCAACTC